GCTCAGGTTCAATTCAGTCGGCCGTCGGGTCTCACAAGAAGTTGTCCGGCGACATGGCGGGGATCCTCGTATTGCGTATCGCTTATGCTTTCGGGTTTTGGGGATGGGTGATGTCAACGGATGCTGTGTCGCGCAGGCTGTGCATGAGGAGGTGCTCCGCAGGCGCGGCGTGCTTCGTGATGACAACATCCTTGTGTATGGGAAACCGGTGCCCGAGCAGGATCTCTGGACCGGGGCCTATCTCGATGACCTGCTGGTTGCGCTGCGGTGTACGGTGCCCGAGCCGGTGCCTTTGGATGGAACTTTTGTGCCACCCGAGCCGCAGGAATCCGATGAGGATGTGCGGGCCATTCGCGCCGCGATCGCCGGCTACGAGGAGGCCGGGCTGCAGCGAGCAGTGCATAAGGAGTTCAACCAGATCGTGGACTTCAAAGCATGGGGTGCTGTAGTGAAGGGGGTGAAGGGTACAGTGGGTGCACCCATGGAGGTGCGTCAACAGCTGTGGGCGCTCCTGGCCAAGGTGGTGTCCTTGGGCTGGTGCACTCGTGAAGTGTTGCAACGAATTGTTGGCTATGTTTCGTTTGTCTTTCAGTTTCGGAGGGAGATGTACTCATTGCAGCATCACATCTACAAGTTCATGGCAAACCTCCCGAGGCAGAAGTGGCGACGTATTCCAGGCCATGTACTTGACGAGTTGCGTAGCTTTGCCCTGCACCTTCCTTTCGCTTATTTCTCCATGCGGAAACGACTGGACCTGGAGGTGCTGGCGACCGATGCGACTCCGACTTCGGGAGGTGCGGTCACGGCCCTGGTCTCTGAGGCTTTAGCGGACGAGCTTTGGCGTAAGTCAGAAGTTCGGGGTGAGCCGGTGCGGTTGGATCGGAGTGAAGGCTTCCTCTCGAGTATTGCGCCTCCTGCGGCGCCCTCCCAGTTTGCCAGTGCGGTGGCCGAGTCCTTGCCTTGGTCCGTCATCAGCTCCTACTCGTTCCGCCAGACGTCCCACATTAATCTTCAGGAATTACGTGCTCTTCGACGAGAAATTGTTCGTTTGGCATCAAGGAGCTCGGGGGAGGGGCAGATCAAGCTTTGCCTTAACGACAGCCGGGTAGTGATCGGAGCGGTGACGAAGGGGCGTTCCTCCAGCTATAAGTTGAACGGGCTTCTTCGGACCATGTTACCGTATCTGACTGCTGCGAATATCACCTTGGCTTTGCTGTGGGTTGAGACTGAATCCAACAGGGCAGACGCTCCTTCTAGATTCGAGTCACTGCCGGCTCCAGTGCCGGCCCCTCCTTGGCTGCAGAGTTTTGGTGTGGACGCTTGGCGTGCAGGTGCCGGCCTAGAAGTGTTTTCCCGAGCGGGGCGAATGACAGAGGCGCATCGTGCTCTGGGGTTACCTATGCTGGAGCCGATCGACTTTACTTTAGGTCGTGACGTCTTCGACTCGGACATTGAGGCCCGGCTTCGTCGACGCGAGGTGGCCTGGCTGTGGTTGGCTCCTCCTTCAAAGGGCTTCAATCGTCGGTGGTGTGCCCAGGCCGGACCGGCGATACGACCAAAAGGGGAGCCAGAAGGTGACGAGGCAGACCCGAGGACCTGGTGGGGCAATCTTTTGTGGCGGCATTCCTTGTACTTGGCCCAGGTCGCTCTCGACCACGGAGTGTTCGTCTTCTTGGAGCATCCGAGGAAAAGTTTGGCTTGGGCCTTGCGGGACACTGAGCTGTTCCAACACCGTGCAGGGATGATCAAGCATAGAGTGGATTGGTGCATGTATGGGGAACACGGGCATGATCTCTCAGTGGGAAATGCACAGAGTGTGGTGTTGTCCAATGCTCCGTGGCTGGGTTCAGTGATCCGACGCTGTGCTCAGAAGCATGTGCACCCGATCCCGGTTCGAGGCTCGAGTGCCAAAAGGTGTGATCATCCGTGGGGCTTCTGTGTCGAGCTCGCCAATGCCTACCGCAGCTGGAAGGAGGCCTCGTCGCCTCCGAAATGCTGCGCTTAGTTCGGAGTATCGCAGAGGGCTTCGGGAGGCAGGTGCGTGGCTCCTCTCGATGGCTCTTGCTTTGGGGGCGCCTTTGCGGCGCTCGTCGTCTCCAGGCCTTGTGGACCGGTGGCTGGAACGCTGCGTGGACCACGCTTATCGCACAGGTGAGAAGCTCTACCGGGTTCGACTTGGAGTACTAGGTGTGCAGCGCATCCTTAACATTGCTGGTCCTTTATTGCGCTCAACCTGGTCAGCTCTTCGGGGATGGCGAGCGCTACAACCAGTGCGATCCAGGGTGCCGATCTCGTCTTCACTGTTGCATGCGTTCCTGGTGGTGTCTTTGGCTCGTGGCAACGCCGAGGTGGGCCGTGCTCGCGAGAGGTGGTGGTCAGCAATGCTGGCAGCTTGGCTCTCTTTTGAAGGTCTGCTTCGGCCAGGTGAACTTTGCCAATTGCGAGCAGGTGACATTGATCTGCCGTTGGATAGCCTCACCGCTGCCGATGAAGGCCTCATCCTGACGATTCGGCAGCCCAAAACACGTCGGGTATACCACACTCAGTTTGTCCTTGTGAAGGAACCGCGTTTGGTCAAATGGATGGTGTGGTGGCTTGATGCTGTACCATCAGGCAGAAAATTGTTCAGGCTGGGGCGTCGAGAGTGGGCCCGCCTTCTGACGGCAGGTCTCTCAGCTCTGGGTGCAGACCAGAACGGCTACACCTTGGGCAGCCTGAGAGGAGGTGGAGCTACGGCCCATTTTCGAGCTCATGAGAATCTGGCACGCCTTCAGTATCATGGACGTTGGGCCAGGTCGGAAACACTACGCTTTTACTTGCACGAGGCGTGGGCAGCCCAGGGGGATGCTCAGCTCTCTGCATCTAGCAAGGAGCGAGTGCGCATGGTCTTGCAGCATAGCCACTTCCTGAGTGCACCGCCTCCATATTCGCTCAAGTTTCTCCTCGGCTCACATCATGGGTGAGCGGCTGCAGCGGGCCCTGCGAGAGCTCGCGGACGCGCTCCAGGAGGCGGAACAGGAGGAGCAGCAAAAGGAAAGTCGGGCTAGCCAACCAGGGCGCGGAAGTGCTTCGTCTAGGGCGACGTCGCCGGCTCCCTCTTTGGCAGGTTCGTCTTCTTCCTGGTCACGCGTGGGCGGTGCAAAAGCGAGAGCAGCGGCGACTGAGAGGGACCCGCTTCGACGGGTGCAACCTCCTGCGGCCCAGCCTCTTGAGCACGTGCCAGCCTCGGCCGTGGTGCGCTACTCCTCGGTGAACTGTTACGTGGTTCTGGAGAATCCGTTGCAGCCGACCCGGGTGGGATGGATCATGACAACCTGGAAGACGCTCGAAGCAAGCCCCAAGCGGGCGATTGTGCACCTCTCACGTCCGACTCCGTCGCGTCGACTCAGTGGAGGCCGCCATGGACCGGTGGAATTCCGTTCATCCGAACCATCCTTGCCCACAGCTCAAGCTGTAGATGTGACGGCCTCGACCTTGTTGCAGGCGGCGCAGTCGGCGGCTCAAAGTTTGGGGGAGCATGAAGTGGATCAAGGCTTAACTCCTGCGGAGATTCTGCAAGATCAACACAGCAGGGACTCAGCTTCACGATGGAGGGCGGGAGATGCCCGCCGTCGCATCACAGCGGCCCTTGCTCGCTTGGTCAACTCACTGCAGTCCTGGACGACGGGCTCCACGGAGCGCGCTTCGACGCGCAATGGGCCACAGCCGGTGCGCCCCCGGCCGGTGCAAGCGCTGAGGGTAGATCCCTCAACTGCCGCGGCTTCCTCGATGTGGTGGCCGCGGTACTCCTGGATAAACAAGTGGACTCTCCTGGGGCTCATGCTCATGGTCCTCTTTCCCAAGGTGACGGCGCTCGTCTTCGGCTTGATGGTGCGATTGGTACTACGTGCCCTCTCGGCCCTCATCTCGCACTTGGCTCGTGAGTTGTTCACTCAGATCTTGGAGATCACAGGGGACATTGAAGCTCAGCTGGTGCACTTCTTGAGCGTCCAGCTTGGGTTGACATCCGACTGGCATCCTCCAATGACGATGCCAGGAGCACCAGCTCCGCCGGTCTATCCGGCGTTTGCTCCGCCACCTGCGCCTCCAGCTGCCCTCCCAGCCCGCCCCATGGACATGATCACCTTGGTGCTGGTGGCCCTGCAACTTCGCAATGCCCCAGGTCTGGGGTGGGGTGGGGGACAATGCTGAGCTTGATTTTGAGAAGGCTGTCTGCAGATTTGCTGGCCGATGAGCCCGCAATCCTTGAGAGCTTTGTCATCTTTTGATTTGTGCGGCTAGCCTGATGTGCCGATGGCTATGTTATGAACTTTCTTACACCACGATTGGCGCGCAGCCATGAGTAAAAAGAGTGGCCCGTCAGCCGCTGTGGGGCAAAGCTTCGGAGAGAATGAGAGGAAGATTCTTGCAGTGCTGTCACTCAGGTGGAAGTTCTCGCTGAAGAGCTGATACATGCGTGGGCCCCACTTCGGCAACTGGGTTCAAGTTGTCCACCACCGCCCCTCCACCGCAAGGCTGAGCTTGATTTTGAGAAGGCTGTCTGCAGATTTGCTGGCCGATGAGCCCGCAATCCTTGAGAGCTTTGTCATCTTTTGATTTGTGCGGCTAGCCTGATGTGCCGATGGCTATGTTATGAACTTTCTTACACCACGATTGGCGCGCAGCCATGAGTAAAAAGAGTGGCCCGTCAGCCGCTGTGGGGCAAAGCTTCGGAGAGAATTAGGGTTTAGGGTTTAGGGGTTTAGGGTTTAGGGGTTTAGGGTTTAGGGTTTGCGGGTTCCTGGTTCCTGCACCGCTGTCCAAGGTATCTCGGTGGTGGCAAGTGCTGTACAACCGAATGGAGCGCTTGCGTCGGCGGCGCTCGGACGGCAACGGCTCTCAGGGTTTAGGGTTTAGCGCGTCAATGTGTTGTTAGTTTTTGGGTGGACGGGATCCTACTGCAGAGGGTCCTCTAATGTCTTGTATGTTCTGATATCCCTCACGTTCAAAGCTTGGCCGTGCCACATGTGTGAACACCGTGACACCGCTGTGAGTACAAGATTTGTAACGTTTGCAAGTCATGGTGACTTTCAAAGCCTAGGCCCTAAGCTGGCAACTGCAAAACCGAAGACCGTAAACTCTGCAATCCTACCTGCGAGGGGATGTATGGAAATGTGCGCTTGTGCGGCGTAGTGCCAGAATTCCGGAAGTTTCAAGTCTTGCGTCCCCCTGTCTCAGCTTATAGCACCAACTGAAGCCCTGAAGATGCAAACCTTAAGCCCACAATCCCTCAAACCTCAAGCCCTCAGCCATCAAACTCCAAACCTTTAACTCCAAACCTTTCCTTGCGCCCACCAAGCTCTGAAACCCTAAACGCTCAATTATTAAATTGTTTCTGAGGTGCGGACTCGAGCTTCTGTAAGGGCGACAGGCTGTCCTACCTTGGTGGCGGCAAGTGCTGCGTGACAGGCGGGACCAACAGTGTGGGCTTCAAAGGACCGGGAGTTTGGAGTCTGGGGGTTGGGTTGCTTTAAAGGGATATTATAAGGGTACTACAAGGGCTTAATATAGGGGTCTTTGTAGTTATGCTTTAAAGGGATATCATAAGGGTACTACAAGGGCTTAATATAGGGGTCTTTAGAGTTACCTGTACTTGTTTGAGGGTTCCTTATTATAAGTGTAGAATACTTGGCCCCAAAACCCTAGTCTAGTTATTACGGCCCCTATGTTATGGTTTCAGGGTGGTGCATTTCGGGCTCAGGGTTCTTCGGGTCTCGGCTTAGGGTTCGAAGTACTTTCAGCTTTGAGGCCTTTTGGCTTGAGGGTGGGTAGGAAAACGTGCTTCAACCGCTGAGGTCCTAAAGCCTTGAACTCTACAACCTTAAGTCCCTAAACTCCAAGGCTAAATCCTAAATCCTGAACCCTAAATCCTAAACCCTAAATCACATCCCTAAAGCCTAAACCGTGTCCAGGGCCCTTGAGCCCTGAACCGAAGTTGCACCCCACACGAGGAAGCTCAGCTTGCTGCAGCCCGACTCTTCCGGAACAGTCTACCCCGTATGGGGTTCGGGTTTGGGGCTGTGGGGTGAGGGTTCGGGTTTTGGGTTAGGTCCGCAATGCACTTAGGGGCTTTATCTACGGGGTTCTAGAAGCAGGGTTTTTATACTCGTCTTGACCCCCAAAAGCCTACTGTTTCAGGGCTCCGTATTGTGAGAGTCCGTAGACCTTGCCAGGTTCCTCGTACTATGTCAAACCCACTTGTGCCGAGGGCACACGTGACTTCTGCAAAGGCAGCCCTGAGCGGAGTGGGGAGAGGTGTAGAGATTTTTCGTGCTACCATGTCAAATTGCGATGGACACCTCGTCGTTCTCCCCAAGTGCTTTGTTTTTCGTGCACAAGTTCTGCTCCTGCTGAAGCGCCGTGTGTTTCCTCCGCGCGAGTTCTTGGACTGTGCTTGAACATTCCAACATCCACAGTTGTGAGCGCTCGTAGAGCTGCTTATGCTTTGACTCGGGGCGGTCTTGAACTAAGGAGCACTGGCGGGTGTCTGCACTGGTTCTTGAACCCTAAACCATCCTGAACCCCCTAAACTTTATGAATCCTAAACGCTATGTCATCCTAAAGCCTACACCCTTAACCCAGGCTGCATGGGGTGCTCCGCGAAGAGTTTTTGACTACTCTCGGGCCGTTAATTGTTTCGGATTTCACCTCGGTTTAGGGTTTACAAGTTTTGGCTTTCCTCGGTTGTGGGTATGGCATGCGGATTGCGGTAGCGTTGCAGATTTCGGTTGCGGTGGTTGGGGTGCAGCTGAGGGTTTCGGGTTTCAGGTTCAGATTCCAGATTGTAGAGTTTGCAAGTTGAGGGTCAACAGCCTTGAGGGTCCGGTATTAAGGGCGTGCTGCTTGGCACTCGAAGAGAGTTGAGTTCGAAGAGTTCTGCGGAGTCGTCTGACTTTGATATGCGTGTTACATTCGTCTTGCTTGGCAAACGTTTACCAAAGTTTTGCAGCTGTGCGGGGTGCCGGATGTCATTGACGTCGCAATACCATTGGGAGAAGGTGAAGGATTCAGCAAGTTGGCTAAGAACAGAGGGCCCAAATTTGTTCCTTTACCATAACTTTAGTATAGCAACCCCAAAAGCCCTATTCAAGCTGAAAAGGCCCCTGTATTAGATTTGGTGTTTGTAACCGAGCGACCGCCCCAACCCAGTCTGTGATGATCCGTCATTGGCATCGGCTGCGCATTTTCCAAGCCCATTCATCCCAGTTGCCGTCATCCCCATTTCAGTTCATGCCCTTCTACAATCCGCCATAACCCCAAATGCTGACACTTTATAGCCTCATGCCGATTCTACAGACTCGTCACAATCCAAAAGATGCCCGAAGCAGGCTATCCATGGAAGTACGTCGGCGGCAGCAAGTGCTGCGCTTCGATGCTCGGCAGAGAGGGGCTTAGGCCCGTAGAGGCCCGAGACTTTCAGAAAGCCAAAACCTCAACCCCAAACATCAAGAAAGCCCGACATGCCGACAAAACCCTTCAGCCTGAAGCCTGGAATCAAAGGTCTTGATCGGATTCTCCAACTCCTCAGTTCTGCTCAGGAAGCAAGCGAGCTGCGAGAAGTACTACGAGAGCTCGCGCTGCAGCAGCCAGGGAGGATGCTCGGCAGAAGAATGGCTCTACTTACCTTTGGTTAGTAGGGAATGAAGGAATGGGTGCTATTACTATTACTATCATTCTTCCATTCCCTACCAGCCAAAGGCAAGTCTAGGGCTTTGGGGTTTAGGGTCTTCAGGAATCCGGGGTTTAGCGTTTGGGGTGTTTAGTGCCTCAGAGTTTCCCGAAGACTCCATCCTTATCTCCTCGGTGTACATAGGGTGATCTGGGACTCCCTTGATTCAGGCCCCTCCTGGGACGTCTGCGAGCGTCGGTGTTGAAACCTCAGACAACGCCGTGAAGTACCGACCTACGAGCAAACCAAAAAACCCTGCAAGCCAATTAGTTCCACAAGGACTCTTGCCAGAGTACTTGTAACGGCCCAGAAGGTTTTTAGAAGCGCTTTTCAAGAGGCTTAGCGTTTGGGAGTTGCAAACCAGACGTCCGGATGATGAGCTAGATCATCCGCTTATGCTTATGATCTCTGTATAGTTAGGCTTCAAAAAGCCTTTGGAGCCTGGCTCGGTTCCGATGCTTTGAACTTGGGGTCGTGGCCGTAACCTTTGGTCAGGGCACGGAATGCCACCTCTTTGATATCACGAGGAAGCTCCGAAATGGAGTCACTGCAGACAACCGAGTTGCTTCATAACTTATTCATAGCGGTTCAGGGTAGCGGAGAGAGCATCCCAGAAGAGTTCATGGGCTGGTAGCTTGACAGACCTGAGGAGACTACCTGGGGAACGGCAATTGCTGCTGGAATTCATGAGTGGCCCTACAAGCCATTCCACATCTGTGGCACCTCGTCCCGTTTGAGTATCGGACCGCCATCTTGCAAGCGAAAATGATAAACAAGTCGGTTGATGATGTACCAGGTTTCTTGGTTGACAGGATCCCACAACCACCGCTGTGCAAAGATTGCTGCAGCTGACACCACGACTACAACTGTAACACTTGTCCAGGTGTTGCCACACCAACTACGGCGATAAAGCAGAAAGTCCCTACTATGTTATGGGAGAAAATAACTAGTACTACTTGTCGCTCCGCATTTTTCTCATAGTATACTATACCCCAAAACCCCAATTTAGTCAAGGCCCCATAGTGAACCCCGAAGCCCTTGTGGCGCTTTCTGGTGTTTTGGGAACAGAGGGTCATCCTCTAAGTCTCCTTGAAATAGTTCTGAAACTACCATGTACGCTCCCTTGTGAAGAACGAGAAGGCCCAGCACAAGGCTTTGCACAAAGCAACAAGCCCCGTATGACTCTGCAAAGGGTTTAGGGTTTAGGGGTGTTTGGCCGTTCGTGCCACGGCCGTCTTGCAAAAGCCTGCTGCAACCAGCACGTGCACCTGAAGCTGGACTTTCCAGATCAGACCCTGCCAGGCCACAGAATCCCTAACCTAAGTTCCCAAGCCCCAAAGCACCAACATTTTTTAAAAGGACTTGTACAACGAAAGCCAGAATCCACAACGATAGGTTCAGGAGCTCCTAAGCCCCTCTCTGTGAGTGTATACAGGGCTCATGTTGAAAATGGGTTGTATCCTTATCATGGGGTACCCGTAGGGAGATACCCTACAAGAAATGATGGGAGCATCCTTGGGTTGCTCAAACGGAATGTCCGACTGTCGTGTCCGAAGGCCGTTTTCGAGGTCTTGTAGCTGGCAGACTTAGCCCAGGGTGCCCAAAAAGCACGGACCCTAGACATTCAACATTAGTCGTGTAGAGCTCTCACAGAAGCCTGCAAGATCCGCTATTGGGGCTCCTACCGAACCCGTTCAGCACGCGTAACCTTGCAGAAACTCCTGTAGAACCCTTAGAAGACCACATTAGAAGCAACCCTTTAAGAACCTCGAAAGCCGCAACATCCCAAAGCCCTGGCGATTGGGCCCATCACAGCGGGGGACTCGGGGAGGTAGGGTTTTGGGGTACGGGTTCTGGGGTTTAGGGTATAAGGGGGACAAAGGGTTCAGGGTTTAGGGTTTGGAGGGCGTAGGGTACAGGGCATAGGGTTCTGTAAGGTTCTACAAAAGGGTTTCTATATCTTCCCATAGACGGTTCTTTGAGGTTACACGAGCGTAGCGTCAGAGTTGGAGGTTCTTCGGGTCTAGAGTTCAGGGTTTTGGGCTCTGTGGGTTTAGGGTTTGTTGGACACCAATGAGGGGGGTTTCAGGCCCGAACCCTAAAACTTAATGGGACTGCGAGAGGTGTTGGGGGTCGCCACCCCAAGGCACAGGTGCTTGGCCCGTCAAGCAGGACGTCGAGGTTTCGGTTCTAGGATCTCTGAGTTCAGGTATAAGGCTTTCGGGGAAGGGTGTTCTTGGGGTTTAGGGCTTTCGGGCTTCGGTATATTAGGATCTACAACCCAAGCCATGAGCCCTTTAGAGCTGCGGATCGAGACTGCCACTCTGTAGGGTTTGAGGTTGAGGAGCTTTGGGTTCGGGGTTTCGGGTTATCCGAAACTCCGAGGCCTCACACGGTCCATTCTTAAATGGTGGAGCCCCGAATCACTGCCCTAAATGCCCCCCGGATTTGTAAGTTTAGGAAAGTGGCAACCCTTGCCAGGAGCATGCCACCTCTCGCAACCTTAAGCCCTAGATCCCTTAACCCTAAACCCCTAAAGCCCGAAACCCTAAAGCCTAAAACCCTATAGATCCCTTAAAGGAACCCTTAAAGGTACCCTTATAGATCCCTTTAAAGGAACCCCCTAAACCCCAGCGAAGACTCCCGAAGCCCGAAACTGATCCGAGAACTGCTGCAACCTTTCAGGCCCCTCAGCCTTCGACCTTCAGCCGCTTCAGCAACCCTTAGGCGAGACCCTTAAACCCTAAACCCTAACTCCTAATCCCCTAAACCCCTAAATCCCAAGCCCTAAACCCCTAAACCCTAAATCCTAAACTGCACGTTAAAAAAAGCCCTAAACCCTAAGCCCTAAGCTTTAAGGCGAGAAGGGCGAAGTCCCTTCCGAGCCCCTTAAAACCCCGAGCCGCAGAAGCTCCCAGGCCTGAGGCCACGTGACCGTTTAGGGTTTAGGGGTTTAAGGTTTCGGGGTTTTGGGGTTTAGGGTTTAGCGATTTTGGGCTTTAGGGTTTAGGGGTTTTGGGCTTTAGGGTGCAGTGGTTTAGGGTTTAGGGGTTCAGGGTTTAGCGTTAAACCCTAAGCCTTACGCGCCACACCCGGAACCCCTAAACCCGAATGAGCCCTGATCAGCCTTCTGAAGGCAATCGCACCGGTTCTCACGCATTTGCTGCGCCGTGGCCTCAGCTACAAAGGCAGGTAGGTGCCTTCGGTTGCCACGGAAGTTCGTTACTGGTAGGTGGTGTCATCGTTTTTTGCTGAACGCTCTAGCCCCATGTCCCGCAGTCCAGCGACTCAGTGTTTTCTGGTGTACTAACAAAGTTCCATATGTAGGATCTTTGCGCGATGGCGCGCTGGGTGTGCTTTCTTCTGATCCCCCTGGCAACCGGGATCCGGTCAAAGAGCGATACGCCCTGGCCGTGGGAGGAGCACCCGGCGAGCTCGGCGGAGGAGCTTCAGGAGCTCCTGAGAACCGCGCTGGCGCAGACAAGACCAAATGAGGCCACCGGGGAAGAGCCCGGCGATGCAGTAGCACAGGAGGAGGCGCTTAGAGAGCGGATTGCCAGCATCAGGAAAGACTGGCAGAGCGCAAGCGCAACCGCTTGCCATCGGCAGCTGGGGCGGTTGATAAACAACGTCACGCTTGCATGCGAAGGCTTGCAGCCGAAAGCCGACTGGCTTCTCGACTACCAAGTGCCGGCCCTTCCGAACAAGACGTGTGCCGAGAGCACCAGTGACATCTTCGCTTTAGGAAGTGAACTTGTGGAAACCCTCCATGTCTCCAGAGATGCTATAGCTTTCGGGGATGTGGCCGGCGAAACGCTCCGTCGATATCAGGCACTCTCCTTTCTAAGCAGCTGGCTGGTGAAGCTGACTGAGACTCATGATCGTGCACTGCTTTGGGCCGGCTTCTGGGATGGGGACCCCGAGAACCGCACGACCCGGGCGACACTCTCCAACTTTGCCAAGGCAATAGAGCACGCGACCATCCACCCGAACAGCTTCCTGGGCCAAGCCATCGAGGCGAGCGAAAACCTTGACTCCTGCTACAAGGACCCCCAGACCAGGGCTCTTGCGGGTAACATGTGGTCCATCGCAAGCATGAGCTTCGTTCTCGGGATGCGTGAAAGGGCACAGGGAGCGGTCATCGCATTGGTCAACAAGCAGATCGCGGGCGAGCGTAACTTGTCGCAGTCCGTGCTGTCCACGCATGAACTCCCAACAGTGGGGCTCGCAGCCTGGGGCCTCGGGTTCTGGGCCCCGAAAGTGCTGGTCGTGGACCTCATGGGCACATGCGACAAAACGAGCCCTGCGCTGCAGAAGCGGCTTCTCGCCCGCCTGCCGTCTTGGGCCAGGTTTATGACGAACTGGAGCCCAGAAGCCTTCGCGATGAGGTCGCGGCTCCGGTGGCAGTGCATCGACTGCTCGGGCGCTTGCAGCCTGGACCTATCCTTGGCAGAGCACGTGGAGAAGCTGGTCAAGGCCTCCTAGATTAACAAGCTCTCGTGAGTCTCGGGATTCGATGGTAGGAATGTATATGTTGGCTGAGTGAGTATGTACCGGAGGCCAAAGAGGAGCAGGACCGGAAGGACAAAGAGCTGCGCGAGGTGGGCTCTGGGAATATAAGGGGCGCACCAAGCATCCCAAACCCTGTCTCCAAGCGGTAACGAGAGAACACTTTCCTCAGGTCACAAGCCGTCACCTCGCGGTCGGCGCCGCGAGCGGGCTGAGCCATGAGGAGGTGGGCCTCCGGTACAAGCTGATGGCGACACTGTGGGAACATCACGACACCAGAGACAACCTACCACATTTGCAGGCCGTCACGGCTGCGCTGGACAAAAAGCTCAACGAACAAAGGGAGAAGCTTGAGTTTCACGAGCTCGACCGCTCAGCCAGGCTGCTTCAAGTGAAGCATCTCCTCCACCAGAATGCTGATCCGAACGTTCCGGACCGGCTTGGCAACACAGCCCTCTTTTATGCCGTTTATGCTGCATGCGAGAGATACTTTGAGCTGGTCGAGCCGTTGGTGAAGGCTGGAGCCCAGCTGGAGGCCCAGAACGAGGAAGGCGACACAGCCCTGATGTGGGCTGCTAGCGTTGGCCAGCTGAAGGTGGTCGAGGTGTTAATGCAGGCCGGAGCACGGCTGGAGACGCGGAACCAGCTCGGCTTCACAGCCTTAATGTCGGCTGCCAGCAGTGGCTATTCGAAGCTGGTGGAGGCCTTGGTGAAGGCTGGAGCCAAGCTGGAGGCGCGCACCGAGCAAGGCATCACGGCTTTGATCTATGCTGCAGGGAAAGGGCAAGCCAAGGTCGTCGAGGTGTTGGCGAAGGCCGGAGCGAAGCTGGAGGCCCAATCAAAGCAAGGCTTTACAGCCCTCATCTTTGCTGCAGGGCAGGGGCACGTGAAGGTGGTCGAGGCGTTGGTGAAAGCAGGAGCCCGGGTGGAGGCTCAAAGTGAGCAAGGCTTCACAGCCCTCATGTGGGCTGCTAGGGGTGGCCACCTGAAAGTGGTTGAGATGTTGGTGAAGGCCGGAGCGCAGCTGGACGTCCGCAATACTTCTGGCTTCACCGCCCTCATGCTCGCTGCTGGCAGCGCCCACCTGAAGGTGGTCGAGGTGTTGGTGAAGGCCGGAGCCAAGCTGGAGGCCCACGATGAGCAAGGTTTCACAGCCTTCACGTGGGCTGAAGCCAGAGGCCACCTGAAGGTGGTCGAGACGTTGGTGAAGGCCGCCGCACTGAGCCTACATTGATGCAGCAGGACGCGGGTACTCGAGATTGCGAACGTTGTGATTTAGCGAGCACAGACAGAGTGATCAACTGCCATGAGTACAAAGGACTATGCAGCGTACTCAGCTGTACCTCCTGGGCACCTGCAGATGCAACGGAACTGAAGCCACGCCTCCGGAGAAAGTGGCGTGGTTTGTACTTCGCTTGAAGTGATGCATCTTCCACACTTTTTCTTTGCGAGTCGCATAATCGCATAGCAGCAATTCCTGAGAGGCTTCTAGGGAGGGTCTGCCTAACACACGTGCTCTTGAATCCCCTGGGCATGCCCAGAGTCAGATTCAGCGCAGGCGGCTCGCAGAAGGTTTAAGATTGGTTTTGGAGCCCTAAACCGTAAACCCTGGATAGGGTCTGTCTGACAGGGTTTGCAGGGTTTGGGGTCGTCCAGACCAAGCCAGCATCGACGGTCTAAACTCTGACCGAGCCTTGAGCCCTACCTTAGACCAGCTTTTTTCGTGGGTCCTGATTATGACGCCGAATATGGAATGCACACGGACCCCGCAAACAAGCAGGTTTTTTGATAGGTTAGGGCTAACCCCCCCAACTTCAGGTTTGGGGGAATTTGTTTTGGTGTGTAGGGTTAGGGTTTGGGGTTTTAGGGTTTAGGGGTTTAGGGTTCGAGGGTTTGGGGGTTTAGGTTTAAGGGTTCAGGGGTTTTGGGGTGTTTAGGGTGTTTACGATGTTGGGGTTTGTAGGGCAGTGCCCAGGCGATCCGGTCAGCATGCATGGCCCGCAATAAAGCCTGCAGGTGACCGATTAAATCTTCAATACCGACTCATGAAATTATCGAAATCTCTCGAATTTGGGGCAACTTAGGAATGTTTTTATCTTTGATTCAGGGTTTAGGGTTTAGGGGTTTAAGGTTTAGGGGTGTGAAATTTCCCTGTCTTGAAGCGCCGTGTTGACATGTCCTCATGCGTGAATAGTTTTTGAGACAGTTCTGAACGCACCCTGTACGACAGACGTCTTGGGCTCAGACCAAAAAGTGCGCTCGTTGTGTGGTTGGACACTCACTAATCCAGTTCCTGCTTCAAACTGGTAGCGGAGCTGTGAGGACAACCACTAGTGTTTCACCCCCGTAGAGCCTGTGGTCCGGGGTCCGTTGGGTAGAGTAGTGATAGTCGCGGCGCAAAGGCCCCTTCTATCTGAAGCCATGAGCGTGGCAGGTTTGCGTTACCAGCCCAATCTCTGGTCACAGAACCTGAGCCCTGCAGAAACGAAAAGCGGTTCGTACATATACGACGGTACGGCTGCTGGCTTCCACGATTGGTGCTTCCGGACACAGATCCGCGTGCTGCAACATAAGGAGAAGCAGCGGCGTGAAGCTCTTAAGGACCTGCGATTTGCCGAGTCGGCAAGGGCCAAGAGCGAGTCACCAAGGAAGTGGCGTGGCAGGGCAAGTCAGGGGACCAGCGCATCGCCCACAGATGGTGATGGAAGCAGCGGTATACCCGCCAGTCCGTCCAGCGCAAAACGGACTAAGCCCGCGTCCGAGGCAGAAGATGAGGATGCGGAGTCGTTGCCGTCGCACCCCAGCCAAGTGGCGGGCGACGATGAGCAGGAGCCGGACACAGATCCGGCGGTGTACACCTTGCAAGACATTAAGGACGAGTCGCTTGATATGAGCGAATGCGTTAGCAAGATTTTGGAGGGTCTCCGAGGAGACGCCTTTTGCATCGCTCGCGACGTCGGCCTGGAACGTCTGCTACGCCATGATGGCGTCGACTACCTGATAGAAGAAATCAGGAGGCAAGCTTTCCCTCTTCAATCTGAAGAGGCGTCCGAACTTTTCCGTCAGGGACAGCTCCTGACGGGCCCACTCGCAAAGCAACCCGGCGAGCCTATGTTGTCTTACATAGCCCGCCGAAAGCGGTGGTGGTCGACCTTGCGTGAGCTGGATCCTGATATCCGCCTTTCTGAAGCAATGAGGGCTAACCTCCTTGTTGAGCTTTCAGGGTTGGAAAGGAACGAACAGCTAATGGTCAAGACCGCCGCCCGCGTACACACCGTGGATGAGTACGCACGCGTCCTTGTTCAGCATCACTCAGTGGTGCACATGAAGGAACGTCTTCTTACCCAGAAGGACCCTAGTGGCCCAGGTAAGACCTGGAGACGTTTCGACGCTAAGCCACAATACCCTAAGTTTGGTTACATGGGGTATGATGGTAGTGCCGCAGAGTATGGTCACCAGGAACAGCAGGAATCCGCGGAAGGCTACGGTGACGGCTACGGCGAAGAAGCATACCAGGCCACAGCGTCTGGGGGAGATGATGCGGATGAATGGATTGATGATGAAGACCTAGCATTGCAACTCAACGCCTATACGGCAGTGGCATATGAAGCTGAGATTGACGATTTGGATGATTCCTATGCCGAGTCAGTTCAGCTTGCGTACGCGGCACAGACCGCCTTTGCCCAGGCGAAAGGAAAAGGAAAAGGGAAGAACAAGGGCAAGTCCTCCGGAAAATCCGGAGGGAAGGTCGTGCGTAGCAATTTGACTATTGCTGATCGTAAGGCCAAGTTGGCAGAGCTTAAGGCAAAGAGTAGGTGCCTGAAGTGCGGTGTGATCGGCCATTGGGCCGGAGATGCTGCCTGCAAGTTTAGCGGTAAGGGCAATGGCCCCAAGGGCACCACAACCCCAGCACAGTCTGGGGGAACTGCCAACGCAGCCGCAAAGCCGGCGGCGCCGAAGCCCCAGGCGTATTTCGCCGCAGTGGAAGAGGATGACACAGAGTGTGTCCATCTGTCGAATGCGAGCGCTGGTAGGCTCGAGGGTTACCCAGCCAACCTTGAGCTGACTCCCTCAAGGACCAATACCGGCAAAGGCCGCGGCAGTGAAGCCCTCTTCTCACCGCAGCTTCGGCGCACAGCCGCCGCTAGGATCATGCGTGACAGCCCCCCTGAGGGTTCCGATCGCGTTTTCTCTTTTGGTCAGCATAAGGGTCTGACTTATGAGCGTGTCTTGTATACGTTTCCTGGATATGTTCTTTGGGGACGCACGCAGAAGTGCCCATCCATAAATTTGGCCGATTTCTTGGATTGGGTCACGGAGTACTTTGATGTGCGTGATGACAACCCCATTAGCATCACGAGAAGGGATGTCCCTCTCAGCCAGGAGCCCCCGCCTGAACCCTTTCAGCCCGAGGTTCGCCTCGCCGCGTCAGCTGCTTCGTCCAGCGAAGGCCCCCGGAAATGCCGGGGAGGTTGCAAGGAGTTCAACAAGTCGGGGAGTAACGCATACATAGACATGCGGACCTGTAAGAAATGCGGCACCGTCACCAAGACGAAGAAAGAGAAGCCTGTCATAGATCAGGCCACATGCCCCCACACCTCCACCGAGAGGTCGGGTAGCAGTAGGAAGACCTCCCGCATTAAGTGCAAGCTTTGTGGGATGCTTCTAGATGAGCAGCCGCAGACCGAGCGAAAGGCTAGGGATGACGCAGCCACAGTGCTGCGGGAGTCCAACACCCTGGACTTCGATCTTCTGCGCAGCATAGTCGGCAGCACGGGGGATAGCCTCCCCGTAGAGGTAGTAGTTCCGGCTATTGCCCAGTTTCAAGAGACCATAGAGGGTCACTTCGTAACCGAGCCCGTGATATCTCGCGGTGACCTTCTCGCATACCTGCAAGAGGCCTTAGATGATCACTCTGCGTCATCGACCAACAACAGTTGGGAAGTGGCGTCGGCGAGATCGCGCTCCTCGAGGGCCTCCGCGACGAGGCACGCCTTCGTGGCTTTCACTGAGGGGGTCACAGATATCCATCCGGCTTTGGTTGATTTGCCCGTAGTAAATATCTACGAGGATAAGCACGTATACGCCGTGTTGGATGAGGGCTGTAACTCGACTGTTCACGGTAGCGATTGGATAGCAAACGCGGCGGGGAAACTTGCGAACTTCGGTTACAGCACGAGGTTTAAACCTGAGGGCAATCGTACCTTCAAGGGTCTTAGCGGTGCTACCGAAACCCTGGGTAGCAGGACCATACCTTTCTCTATAATGGGATTGGAGCAGGACTTGAGAGTTCCGGGCGTCCTTGATTCTCACGAGATTAAGGGTACAGCCCCTCTCCTTTTGTCCCTTTACGCCCAGGCCCAACTTGGTATAACCAAGGATCTTCGGTTTGGCGAGTGTGGTGTTCGACTTCCTTCTGAGGATAGCATCATTAGGATCAAGCTGTGTCGGACACATGACTCAGGGCTGTTATGCATAAACATAACAGAAGGTTTGGTTCAGGTGAAACAACCCCGTCTCATAAGAAGCTTCCAAATCCCCTCACCGCCAGTTCCTATATTTAGGTCTGCCGCCGCCGCCACCTTAGCTCACTCAGAGTCTGTGAGCACCCCTCGAGATGCAACAGCGGCAGATGACGCAGTGGCAACAAGTCGCAGTCACAGTACTGTAGATGCAGGCCATGGTCATAGCACTTTAGGCGTAGGCCACGGTCACAGCTTCACAACGACAGCTGAGAATCGCAACAACACTAAGCGACGTATAAGCGTAGCGTTCCCGAATCATTGTATGGTAGGCACGTCCGTAGGAGACACGGAGCCCGCCGCGATGGCCGCAGAGGAGGGGCAGCTGCCTAAGAAGGCGCCCCCGACGGCAAAGGCTGCACCGAAGATTTCAGCAGCGCCGGAGCCTGGCCACAGTGCCATGGCGATTTCGCCTGCGGTCGGCCACAGTGCCGCACCGGTGATCACTCCTGCCTTTTCTGCGCCTGCACCTAAGGCTCCGCCAGGGAGTGGCTTGCCGAAGAAAGCGCCTCCCACAGAGAAGGCTAGGCCTGGGGATAGCCCAGGGAACCCGCCGGCAGCTCGTGCCACAGTGCACCCGAAGGAGATCGCGCGAGGGCACCGCGAGCTTGCCGAGTTCGATGCGGTTGTGAAGAAGGATCCGCACAACAGGCCCCTGGTTATAATGGCAGGTGGTGGACCCCATGGTCCGGAGCTCGACACTCCTCTTCCA